TTTGTTTCTGAAGGAGTTCAATAGATGACAAATTCATTAGATACCAATTGACATTTTTCCTCCCTTTGGTACTTCGAACAATCATTCCAATGTCTTTGGTGTGTAGAATTTCTGAACAAAAAGTCCATCATCGTTCCTCCGAAGGCGACATGCCATTCTTCCTATGGCTGCTATTTATTAATTTTGAGAGAGAGAGAGAGTGCAAATGGGGAGAACCAGACAGAGAGGGAGAGGGAGAATCCCAAACAGGCTTCATGCTGTCAGCACAGAGCCCAAAGTGGGGCTTGATCTCAGGAACCATGAGATCATGACCAGAGCAGAAATCAAGAGTCTGATGCTTAACTGACGGAGCTTCCCAGGAGCCCTTAGCCAGATCTTCTCTTTCCTCTGCTTCCCAGGAGTTTGACTGTAATGTGACCAGTGGCCATCGTGTTTGAGGAGTTTGACTGTAATGTGACCAGTGGCCATCGTGTTTGAGCTGCCTGGATTTGAAAATTAATGTTTTCCATGAAATTTTGGACAAGTGTGAGTCATTTTTTTTATTTCCTCAAATATATTTTCTGCCTTATTGCCCCTCTTTTTCTGGTATTCCAATTACTTATATGTTGAATTTACTCATATTATCCCATCATGTTTGAGGTTCTGTTCATTTTTAATCAATGGTCATTCACACTTTTACTCTAGATGAACAATTTCTACTGATTTGTCTTTTAGCTAATGAATTCTCTCTCTCATCATGCCTAATATGCTTATGAGCAAATCAAATAAATATTTTTTAACATTTATTTATTTTTGGGAAAGAGCAAGTGGGAGAGGCAGAGAGAGGGGGGACAGGGGACCCAAGCGGGCTCCACGCTGACAGGCTGACAGCAGTGAGCCTGATGGGGGGCCCGAACTCGCAAACCGGGAGACCATGACCTGAGCCGACCGACTCAACCACCTGAGCCACCCAGGCGCCCCTCAAGTAACTATTTTTAACTTTAGTGATTGTACTTTTTAACTCCAACATGTCCATCTCATTTCTTTTCTTTTCCTTTTTTTTTTTTTACAATTTCTATTGTTCCACTGAGATACTCTATGTGCTCATTTATTTGCTCCCCATCTTCCTCCATTATTTGAATATATTTATTAGACCACATGTAAATGTTTTGCTTGCTAAGTCCAACATCTGAGCCCTTCCGAAAGCAGTTGCTATAGGTTGCCTTTTTTCCCACTGAATATGTATCACACTTTGCTGTTTGTTTGCATGCATAGTATTTTTGGAAAAAAACAAAACTAGTCGTTGTAAATAATATGCCATAGCATTTCTGGATTCTGCCCTGTTCTGGAGATGATCGTGCATCTAGGAAGCAGTCAATCTGCTGAAACTGGAAGAGTTGTCTCCCATCTAGCTTCCCTGTATGTGCTCCCCTGACTTCTCACAGCTGTCATCTCGGCCTGTGGACCCCCTGCCTGCAGAACCGGATCTGAGCAGAGATGGCCTCACCCGCCCATCAGGCTCCTTGCTTCGGGACCATTCTGTTTTTACCAGCAGCTCTGCCAGGGTTGAACTCTGTTCTTTAACAGAGTTACATCGAAGCCCTTCTGGCTTTGGCTTTTTGCCATCAAGCTGCCCACCCACCATTAGTGAATGAATTCAGAAAGACTCGGGTTTCAGTTTGCCTCTGCAGAGAACGACCCTAGGACTCAGGCCCTAATCACCCGACCTTCCATTTTCACATGACATCATGGGAAAGCATCTGCCTGCTCAGGACAGGTTTGTGGATTAAATGGAAGGAGAGAAATCAGCATGGGGTCTGGCACACAGTGGTGCACCTGCTCTTGCTGTGGGGTCGGGGGAGGCGCTGAGGGTCCTGGCAGCCCAGGGGCTGCGGCTGGGGAGCAGGACAAAGGGCCCCAAACGGAAGCACGTTCACATCTCGCGTCTGCAGCCTGGGGAGGGACAGCAGCTCCTCTCAGTCTCCAGAAGAAGATGGCCCATTGTCCCTCCGGTTCCCCCAGATCCCCGAATCCTTAGGATTTTCTTCCTTGTAGATCCTCTCTCCACAAAATGTAGTGATTTCACCATCCCAAATATGATAGGATTTTTCAAGGGATCATATTCAGGGATAAGTGTAGAAAAATCAAAAAATAGAAAATACAAGCAGCTCAGGAACCTGGGACACATGTTCTAATTGCTAATGTTCTAGACACACAAGTGCTGTGAGGAGCAAGGACTGTAAGTAGTTCACACTCTGTTCCTCATCACTCACATCTGTGAATAAATAACAAGGAGGAAAAGAAACCAAAAATATCAGGAACGATTTATGCTCAAAAGTTGTCCACAGTATTCTCTGTTAAAGACCTTCTCTTTTAAAAAAGAATTTAAAATTTTTAAATTAATATTAAAAAGACCTTCCCAATTGTGAAAATAATATATAAAGTACAGAACATAAACATAACCTAATGAATTTGAAAGAGACATCCAACGTAAGCAGCAGGATCAGGACGGGAGGTGGGGAGTCAGGACAGGGCGCTGCTGGGAATCTGCGCCAGGAGCACAGCCAGCACGTCCCTGGCGCAGGAGGTCTCTCCTGGAGACGGGCGTTCTGGAGAAAATCAGAGGCTGTGGCACCGGTGACCTCACTGCCCCACACGGGCCCAGTGGCCCGCCCATCCACCCCTGACCATCCCCAAATCCCTCTGTGGTGGGAGCTCGCTGACTCAGGTGCAGCTGACTGTAGTTCCGGCTGGTCCAGGATGGTTTTGAGCCCAAGGCCCGCGGGCCAGCACTGAAGCCATGGTGCCCAAGGGCTGGGGCGCAGTCCTGAGGCTCAGGGTCATCGTCTATGTTAGCTGCTTCCTGGTCAGAAAGTGTCGAAAGCGGCCAAGTGAGGCAGAGCAAGCCCCACCCAGAGCAAGGCCAGAGGCGTTGGCCTGTGTGGAAAGCAGGCAGTGCAGGGGGGAGGCTGTGGTCAGCAAAGGGCCTCTGTGGATGTCAGAGCCTGCAGAGCTGTGGCCACAGGCCTATTTCCTCTGCCTGAGGGTGTGAGAAAGGAGAGAAGTTGCCCTGGGCAGGGTCTCCTTCCCCCACCAATGTGGCTTTTCAAGGTCAGGAAGGACTTGGCTCTGGAAAGACCAGTGGCCTAAGCGCCTGAGATATGGTCCTGACCCTGCCACATCCCGGCTGCCAGACTGCGGGCTCATCAAGCACCCTAAATGGGCCCCGACTTTCCTCATCTGTAAAATGGACGGTAGTCACAATCCCCGCTGTTTCTCACAGAGACCGTGCCTGTGAACGATGGAAACTTAGACACACTGTGCACAGTGACGTTGGCTCTTACTGCTAATGGCGGGAAGTGACGGAGATCCGTATCTGGAGGCTGAAAATGTCCACGGTGTGGTGCCAGCATGGAGTCCGCGGTGGCTGCCTCTCCAGTGTCCCTGACCTGCAGCTGCTGGGGGCTCTGTCCTGGGCCCTGGGCCCCACCCCCCACTGGCTTTCACAAGCAAACCCTCCTCCCCTGAGAGGGCTCCCCTGGGGTGTAGGGACAGACAGGGGCATGGCCGAATTGCTCCCCATCATGCTGGAGTGTGGACTCCATCCAGGAATTTCTTCCCTCAAGGCTCAGGGACTGAGCCTCCTGAAGGACCGTCCCCGTTACTGGACAGGAGTCAGGGAAGAAAGCAGTGTTGATGCCCTCCTGTCTGAGGTGCGCAAGCTGGTCGAGGGAACCCACAGAAGATGCAGGGACTCTCTGGAGGCCGCACGGTGGACAGGACAGGAGCTGGATGGCGGATTTCTCGGGGATCAAGTTTGGGAGTCCAACCCCTGCTCCTGACCTGCTGAGTGACCTTTTTTCTTTAAAAATTTCTTTAATGTTTTTCATTTATTTTTGAGAGTCAGAGAGAGACAGAGTGAGCAGGGGAGGGTCAGAGAGACAGAGGGAGATACAGAATCTGAAGACAGGCTCCAGGCTCTGAGCTAGCTGTCAGCACAGAGCCCGACATGGGGCTTGAACCCATTAACCGTGAGATCATGACCTGAACTGAAGTCAGATGCTTAACCGACTGAACCACCCAGGGGCCTCGTGACCTTTGATGGTCGTACAAACCCTGAGGCTGGGCCTCAACATCCACAAAGTGGATTTACCAGCCAATAGGCTGACTACCTTCAGTGCATGTTCCCGGCCTTCCTGGGGTCCAGCCTCAGGGTCCAAGGGTCTGAGCACCTGAGGCAGAACCTCAGTGGGTGGAGAAAGGGCACCAGCCGGGGGTAGTTATGGTGATGCTCCCCTGGGTCCACAGGAGACAAGGTTCTCAGGGGTCATGGGGACCTGTTTGGGGAGAATAGGCCTGACCGTCAACAGGCGACCATGAACTTAAGCAGCTGAGCCCTTGGCCAGAGGAGCACATCCCTGCCCCTTGCCTGTGTGTGAGAGCAGGTTCAGGGCTGGCAGAGCCTTGGGGGGACGTGCAGGTGGGGGCTGCCCTGTGGGGGACGCAGGGCCAGGCATGGGTGCCCAGAGGGCCCAGGGTGCCAGGGAAATGCCCATATTTGCATGGGGGGGTTGACTCTTCCCCACAAAGCACTTTGTTCTTCTGCTTAAAGCGTCTTTCGGCACCTGACAGTTGAAGTTCAGAGAAAATCAGAAAGAAATTTGACTTGTTACATGGTATAAAGACAGAGGACAGGCCCAAAGCAGAGGGAGGAGCCGTGTTCTTGGGACAGTGGTTACTGTGACTATGTGCCCAGCCATCGGCTGTCCCTGGGGAGCAGGGCTGCTGGGCTGAGTGTGAACCCAGGGACACAGGTTGGGGTCCCACTGGGTGCTGGCTGGGGAGCTGAGATATCCAGGCCCATGGTGCCCACAGAAGACAGCCTCTCCCACCCAGCGGCTCATCGAGGGGGTGTTCGTACATTCATCTGCCATCATTCCCTGAGTCCCAGCGCGGGGGGAGGAAAGAGGAAGCATCTGAATGGCTTTCTCTAGAGCAGCCAGCTTGTCCTAGACGGTTAGCTCCGCCCCTGGGGTGGGAAGAGCTAAGAGCTGATCTGAGCGAAGCTTTTCTCCCCTCTTGTCTCTGCCTTCTGGATGTTTCCTCCGCAGCCCAGTAGGCCCAGAAGATGCCTGGAGGGAGGCAGCTGTGATGGGAACCCGCCCAGAGGCCCCCCGCCTGTGCCGGGCCCCCTGGCTCCTGGGATTCACCAGCCTCCTCCTCAGTGAGTGAACAGGGTCCCTGGGCGGGAGGCCGCTGTGCGGGGCAGGGAGGGGGGCTCCCGCGGGTCTGATGTCTGTGGGGAAGGACCTGAAACACCAGCTCTGTCGTAGGGCACGTGCGGGGCCTTTGGCTCCGAGCTGGGCCGCCTCGCACAAGGCAAGGAGCAGCCCCTGCAGCCGTGTGGGGAGGATGGGGCGGCCCAGAGGCCCCGTCGGGGCGGGGGGGACCCTGCTGTGGCCCCTGGGGCCAGAGGAGGGCCCGGAACACACTGAATTCTGTCTGACCCAGGAAGGGCGGGCGGCCCCCAGAGTTTGAGGGTGTCTGCGCCCACTTGCTGGAAGGGTGTGGACGGAACATGGGCGCTGACAGGCCCCAGGAGGGGGTGAACGGGGTGACAGGAAGGTGTCCAGAAGGGAACTGAAGGAAAGACTGTCCTAACGAAACCCAGACATTCCCGTTATTACTTCCTCTGAGACTCTCTGATTTTGTGTAACAGATTAAATGAAAACAAAGAGGAACACTGAGGTCTCAGAGCTATGGTTCCCGGGAATCCTGGGAAAGCTTTTATTTCCTATAATGTTTTGCCTGCGAACCCCAACTACCAGGGATCCAAGAAATTCCCTGCAAACAGGGCGTTTCTGATTAGAAAATGAGCATTCAAGGCTTTGATACCCGTCTTACCCAAATAATTTTGTCAACAACAAAATGTAGCCTTTCTCTATCTTTCCATTCTAATTAACTAGAAAAAACATGTGAAATTACATAGAGTTTGCTCCTTAAACATCTAGCTTGGAAGGTTATGTAGGAAATAAAGAAAGATAAAAGGAAGAAAGAAAGAGGAAGGGAGGGAGGGAGGGATAAGGAGGAGAGAAGGGAAGGAAGAAGAAATACGAGAAATGGAAAAGTTTATGTTGAATGTTGAATGTTAAATTTTATGTTCCTTAAATATATCCTGACTCTCTGGATCACGGACACCTGTGCCCCTGGCCATCTGTCCTTCTGTCCTTCCGTCCTTCAGTCCTTCCTCTCTGGGATTAGCATCGTCTGCTGATCTGAGACTCTCACCTCCTTCCTCCCACCTCGAGGTGCGTCCAGCCCTGGAGCCCACATCACCATCCAGCCTGGGGACAGGCCTCCCCTGCAGCCTGAGGGCTGGGCCTCCTCCCTCCCTGCTTCCCTCCCTCCCAGCAGGTGCCCCAGGTCCCTGCCCTGCCAAAGCCCAACAGGCACCTGGGCCCCTTTCCCAGGAGAATAGCTGGGGCTTCAGAGCCCAGAGCTGCTGGGGCCCGCTGAGCAGACAGCAGGTCTGCAGGGAGAGCCCCTGTGCAGGGCGGGGGAGGGCAGGGGAGGGTAGGGGAGAGCAGGGCAGGGCAGGGCTGCAGGCAGCTCCCTGCAGGGGAAGCACTGGGCTGGGGCAGAGGGAAGCCGGCTCCAGGTCCAGCAACCTGCTGAAGAAAAAAGTGGAATCGCCCACACCATGCAGAGCCCACAGTGTGAATTGCTCCCAGCCCAAGTGTGGGATACCTGGGAGCCGGCCCCCTGGTCTCGAGGACCCCGCCCAGCTGCACACGTGTGCCCAGTCACCTGCTGAGGGGGACTTGACAGGGCCATGGAACCCAGCTGCTGTCGGCACAGCCATCACCAGCCGGACTCTGGCTCCCACGGCCGCCTGTGGGGTCACAGCACGGGTGTCTGTCTCCCGGGAGCCCATCCCTGACCCCAGGGGGAGACCCTGAGAGGGCCTCTGGTGGGGGAGCAGGGCTCCATCCTGGGACCTAGGAAGTGGGGTCGGACCCCAGGGGTGCTTGGTCAGGAGAAGCATCGTAGTCGTGAGAGCAGCTCACACGTACGGGAACGCGCTCGCCTTCTGAAGTCCCAGCCACCATTGTCCCAGGGGAGCGCTGTCATTATCTCCACGTCACAGATGGAAGGAGAAGGCAGGGACAAGGGCCACAGCCGAGCTCCCGTCACACGTGGAGAGAACGTGAGCCACACGTGGGACCCTGTGCAGCTGGGAAGTGAGACGCGTCCACGTGTGCAGACGCAGTGTGGACCCCTGCCCGAGTCGTGCAGGGAAAGGCAGGCGCGGCGTGTGCGGCGCGTGTCCGGGCACAGGAGACACAGGAGGTCCTGGAGGGACACGCACGATGGAACAGCCATGTCTGTGGAGGGGAGTGCGCAGCGGGTCCGAGGTCCGGGCCAGACTGCGTGTCGATCCCCATCGCCTCCAGTGTGTGCGTGTACGGTCTGCTCACCATCCACCAAAGTGAGAGCTGCGAGTGTGGCCGAAACACAGCCTCTCGTCCTTTGAGTGGGAATAATCCTCCGCAGGCTGCTGGCCTTGAGGGCCGTCCTGGGGACCCTTCCCTCTCGGACTGTGACGGAGCAGCTGACCCGTAGGGACTGGAATTGTGACATGGGGGACGGGGACGTGCCGTCACAGGCCGGGCGGCATCAGGGGTGCAGCCGCCGGGGAGAAGTGCAGGGCAGCAGGTCCTAGGAACAGGGACGGAAGGGACCACGGACGGAGACGGCTGGTGCTGCTTCTGCTGTGTCGTGTTTACACCCCAGGAGCCCCCTGCACTCACACTCTCGTGTCCCCTGCTTCACACGTGGGGCCTCAGGTAAGACAGTTTGGGAAATCACCAAGGCCACTCAGCCAGTAAAGGGCGGCTCTGGAACTTGAACCTGGGTCTGTGTCATCCCAGAGCTCATGACTCATTGATCTGCCATCCATGACGCCAGGCCTGGGTCCTAGGAGCCCTCACGGGGTCCACAGGTGCTGGGTCCTGACCCTGGGCTCCTGGATTGGATTTTGGGACTGTGGGAACAAGATCCTATAGACCCGAGAGCTGAAACCACATCAAGTTGTGTCTCACAGTCCCGGGAACTTAGAGTTCAAACTCAAGTTTCTGGCCAGTGTCTGATGGGAGGGATGCAGAGCGGTGCCGAAGGGACCCGGGGCATTCGTGTCCTGACTTGCTTAGAGGGACCTGGGGGCCGTGTCCCCTGCCGTCTCCGTGCACCTGGTCTGTGCCGTGTCGGGGGGGGTCCTGCACCCAGGGCACGTGTCTGCCCCAACCTCATCCTGCACTGGGGGTCAGAGGACGGTGACCTCTGGAGGGAAGAGACGGAGGAGGGGCCGGCAGGGGGCTGAGGGCTGAGTCCCTGTCACTCTCCTGGCCGGCCCGGGGCAGGGACAGGGTGACCACCTTCCCACTGATGCAGGTGCTGAGGGCCTGTGGCCTGATGGATAAGGGTTGCTGGGCCGGGATGGGGAGCCCCCTCCCGTAAGGGAAGCCAGAGGGACTGGGGTGAAGCCCTGTCATGCAGCCTCACTGGCCCTGACTCAGGCCTGCCCGGAAGGGGACGGGACCCACCTACGTCAGCACCATCCCTATCACTTCCTGCTGTGTCCCCTGCTGTCCCCAGATCACTGAAACTCACCATGTGGGCTCCCAGCCTGTGCAGGTCATGACCCGGATTGGCTATGCTGGGTCCTGAGTCCCAGGGCCTCTTGGACTGAAATTCTGGTCTGTGTGGAGCTGAGGAAGCTCAAGGTCAACAAGAACGGTGTGGCTCCCCCTCACCCCTGCACTTGGGGAGGGGGAGCAGGTGCTGGGGGTGGACTCAGCCCTCCTTCCTCCCGGGTGTTGGCCAGAGGATGCCCTCCATCCCTGACACATGGGTGTCCCCACAGCTCAGCCCCAACGTGGCAGCAGGCTCGTCCCAGCAGAAAGAGACAGGGTGTGAGGGAGACAGAAGTCACGCTCCTGTGATATCTGCTGTCACTGAGTGACGTCCATCACTGTAGCTGAACTCAGCTCCTCAGAGCAAGTCACAGGGCACGGCCCCCGCTGCAGGGCCAGGGCTCCCACGGCGTGTGGGCGGTGGGGCCTCTGCAGCCACGGAGGAAGCTCCTCCTACACTTGTGCACTTGGCATTGACCTAAAAGGGCTCAGTGTTTTCCATCTGTGATGTCATCACGTCCAGACTCTGAGCGTCAGACAGTGAGGACACTCGGGTGGGCAGTTGAGGACCGTGTTCAAGGGGACGCCCCACCAGGACCAGGACTCAATTCCAGCCTCGCCCCAGGTTCGCGCTCTGTCCCGCCCCCCGGAGTCCAGGGATCCACCGGGTGGAGTTCATTACCACGATGGGGTCTATGGTTTTCTCCTCATTCTTAATGAAACACACTCACACTTTGTGATTCCAATGCCCTAGGCGCCTTCAGCACTGCGGTCAGGAGCTCTGGGGCCCGTGGATCTGGAGTGGAGGATTCCAGAAACCTAGTTTCCCTGAAGGGGACCCAAGGAGGTTCTGTGGTGTTTCATGTGACCAGACGTCCAGAAGTACCTCCTGAAGCCAAGCTGGAGAAGATTTCTTGGGCCGTTAAAAACGAGTCAAACTACATAGTCCTCCTGCACGTCTCTCCTGGGGTGGATGTTCCAGAATGGGTCAACCCCCAGGACAAGTTCAAGGAGAGGCTCCATGTGCTCAACACAACGACCCTGAGGATTGACAAGCTGACCCTCGAGGACAGTGGGTGGTACCGGGCTCGATGCTCCTTCAGCACAGGGATAGAAAATGCCCAGTATTTCCACCTCAGTGTCTACGGTACGTGGTGGCCCCTCCCCCAGGACAGGCTTACCCCCTGCTTTGGTCCCTGGGAGTGTCCGTGGGCCCCTTGCAGGATCCCTTCCAGACCCCAGACTTCAGGCTCTGCTTCTCCCTTGAAATCAGAAGCAGCGTGTTCAGCACGAGTGGAGGCGGGGCTGAGACTCCCAGCAGGGGTGGATCCCTCGGTGCTTCAGGAAAGAAAAGGGAAACGTGGGGAAGTGGGGTTTTGCAAGAACCATAACTGTGCTCAAGGGACACGTGTCCTTAACTGGTGTGGTGGCGGCTGTTGCTGCTGTCAGAGATGGACCCACAGGTGTCTTAGCGCAGCCTTAACCCCATATGCACCTGTGTGTGGGTCAGGGTCAGCCCCGGGGCCACTGCGATGAGGGTCAGGTGTCTGCAGGGCTGTGCTTTTTTCTGGAGGCTCCAGGGGAGGATCCACATCTTTCCTGTTCCACCTTGTAGGGGTGGTTGTGTCCTTGACATTTGGCCCCTTCTTCCACCTGCAAAGCTGGTCCTTGTTGCCTGAGTCCTTCTGGAACTTCACCCGCCCCCTCCTCTCCTATTCCGTCCACGTGTCAGGACCCTGTGATCCCACTGCTACTTTCCGGGGATCCAGACCTTCCCTAGTTTAGGGTCAGCTGGTTTGGGCCTCGGGTCCCCTTGGCCATGGACCCTAAGACACTTGCATGCAGTGCGGGTTAGCACGTGGTCATCCTTGGGCACACTTGTCACCAGGCTCAAACACAACCCACTTGGGGTCCTCCCACCCTCTCCCTCCTCCTTCTCAGCACAATCCCAAGGCCATCCTCACTCCCAGACTCCCCGGTGCAGCTCTGAACCTCCAGGGACGCAGGAGACGTTCACAGGGTGGCCCTTCCTCAGACACACAGTCAGCACCTCCCTCTGTCTCTGTCTCTGACCCCCTGTGGAGGGAGACATCCTGCTCCGGGGAGAGTGGCTCCTGCAGCCTCAGGTCTGTGAGGTTCCCAGAGGGCCTGTTCCCCTGTGTCTTGTTCCCCGTGGGGTCAGCAATTTCAGTGCACGTTCTAAGCATGTTTTGGGTGTCCATTCCTTGGGGACCCACTGTGTCCCCCCCAGCCACCTCTCCTGCTGGGGGCCTGGGACTGATCTCTTGGTGCCCAGGTGGCCTTCTGCACCTCAGGCTTTGTGGTCTCGGCCACCATCGGAGCAGGGGGCGGGGGGGCCAGAACAAGATAGATCCTTCTGTCCCTGACTCTGTGACTTCTGGAGGACACCTCACTGTGTTAGAATTATTGGGTTCTGGTAAGAGGGTCTCGTATTTTCTCCCGGGAGGCTTTTATTCATGCTCAGCCTAGTGAAATCACATGCGGCTTCACTCAGTGGCTCCTTCCTTCTAGTCACTTTCTGTATATTTGGGTCAAGTCTGTCTTATCTGTAAAATGGACTCACCATCCTCCGGGGAGGAACCAGGGCGTCAGTGAGATTCTGCACGAGGAAGCAGGAGTGTGATGCTCTCCACTCACGGGACACCCTGTCCTTTGTCCTTCCTGCCCCAGAGCCTGTGCCCCGTCCCCAGGTCCTGGCCAAGGTTCTGTCCCTCACACGAGACTGGTGCAACGTCACCCTGGAGTGCCACACCCCGGGAGCCACAGGGGCCGTGAACGTGTCCTGGGAGAGCAAGGGCCTCCCCAGGGAGCTGGAGCAGAGAGGGGCCCCAGGACCGGCCCCCAACCCCTGGACCCTGGCTCTGAACCTGCCCCTGAGCCAGCCCAGCCCCAGGGTCACCTGTGTGGTCAGCAACCCGGTGGACCAGAAAAATGCCACCCGGGACCTCGGGGAAGTGTGTGTCCACGGTGAGTGTTCCTGCCTGAGGGGAGGGGACTCCCGGGGCTCAGGTCCCCCTGGTGAGGGTTCTGTGTCCTGTCCCCCATGTTAATGTCATCACCTTCCCCCACTGACGAGCTCCTCCAGCGCGGGGACCCTGCCCTGTTCCTCTCAGCACCCGGCCCCCAGCAGGGCTCAGAACTGGTTGGTGAAAGCACCTGCCATGTCCCCCCTCTCCAGAGGAGACCCGTCCCTTCAGACGCCTCCACGTGCTTGGCAATGGGCGTCTGACATTGTCCCTTGTCTTTTCCTTCTTCATTATCTCTGAGCGAGAAACAGGTCCACACGGACAGGCCGGTGATGCTCACCTGGGAGCAATCCTGGGGGTTCTTGGTGTCGCGCTGCTGATCCTCGGAGCTGGGCTGTACCTGCGGTGCTCACGTGGGAAGAAGAAGAGCTTGGAGACTGGGAGAGGCAGGTGCACGTCTCCTTCCCCTGCCCACACACCTCCCTCCCCTACTGACCCTCAGCTCCCTCCCCTGCATTTTGCTGCTCAGGGAATGTCCCTGCAGGAGGCTGGTGGGTGTGGGCATCACCGTGGGGGTCGTGGTGGGGGGAGGGCAAGGTTCCCAAGGCTCAGATTCAGCTCCATGTGTGTGGGACTCAGGTGCAGGGTCGCAGGAGAAGCACAGGGACCATGGTGGTGGCGTCCTGTATGCAGAGCTCAGCAGACCGATGTCTCAGGACGGCAGGGATAAGGTGAGGCTGGGCCACCCCCGTCCCTGTGAGCCTGGGTGTGAGTTGGTCAAACCCACTCACCTGCACTTTCTGGTCTCATGTTTGTATCCCTTCCAGCCATGCAGTATTAACACGGGGTCCATGCAGTGCTGGGCGCTGTGGGGGAGGTCATGTGAGCAGCACGGCATCTGTGGGGTCCCTCTGGGAACTCTCTGTCCCGCAGCTGTGGCAGGAACCCTCTGTCCACATTCCAGGGATCGGAGGAACCACATCTAGTACAGGAGAGTCCTCTCACCACTGTGTACAGTGTGGTCCGCACGCCAGGCCAGGTCAGGATGGAGTTTTAACTGGAAGAAGCAGGGAATCCAGCCTCTGGCAACACCTCAGATGTGAGTGTGAAGCCTGCACCCTGGTCCCGCCCCTCCCCCCGACTGCTCTGAGCTGGGACGGATTGAGCCGACATCGGTGAATTTCTACAGACACTTGTTTTCAAGTTCACCAGAGGACACACATTATGGTAGATGGAGGGAGACCTGAATATATAGATGGGTCCAAACCTGTGTTCTAGTCCAGCTCAGCCTCAGTTCCTTGGCCTCCCTGCACGGACCTCAGGCTCATCCACATGGATGACATGAAACAGGGAGAAATGTCAGCCTTGTCCTCCAAGACGTCCACCCAGCCTGAGGGGACTTCAGGAGACTCTGTGTCCCAGCGGACCCCCTCCATTGCATAAAAATCATGCCCAAGAACTGGATGGAGAGGAAGGAAAGGGGAGGGGAGGGAGCCTTGAGGTCATGAGTGGACAGTCCTGCCCTTCCTGTTCCTGCTCATCTCTGGGACAAGAAGAGTGGAGCAGATGGCGTCAGTGGTTCCCAGGAGGGTGTTCCTGTTGTGAGTGGTTTAGAGAACGCTGTGGAAAACAGTTAAAGGGCCACAGCAGTGAGAGGGGAGAGAGGTGGGCACACAGGCACCAAAATGGACCCGACAGCTGGGGTCCAGCTCTAGCACGGCTGTCCATTTGCCTGGAGCCAGAGGCCAGGGAGGAAGGCTTGGGGACACTGGAGGGGCCGTGTCCCTGAAAAGGCACCGGACACGTGCCCTCTGATGGGGCCGGCTCTGACCGTCCAGGATACAGGGTGACAGAAGGGGAAGTGAGTGGCTCTGTGATGCAGGGGAGAAAATCCGTGTGGATGAGCCCTGAGGTGTTCCCTCTGCCTCTCAGCTGATCTCATTCCCTCCTCCCGCATCTGGTGTTCTAATTTTATTTTTGAGAGAGAGACAGAGAGTGAGTGGGGGAGGGGCAGAGCAAAGGCAGAGACAGGATCCGAGGCGGGCTCCAGGCTCTAAGCTGTCAGCACAGAACCTGGTGTGGGGCTTGAACTCACAGACTGTGAGATCATGACCTGAACTGAAGTTGGATGCTTAACTGGATGAGCCACCCAGGTACCTCTGGTGTATTGGGTTTTTATTAGGGGATGTCACATACCCCGACTTCTTCCATGTGGGACCTGCTCCTGATAGTTACTGTTCTCTATTGGTCATTCTTTTGTATTTTTTCTTGCCCTTTATTGGATTGAGAGAGTTTCCTTTGATCCAAAGATCTCTAGTATTTCGAATTTATACCAGCTACTATTTTTTTTTTTCTGAGTGGACGTGAAACATAAATTTTGACTTCAACATTTAAAGATAATCAGTATTTCATCTTTTTCTAAACAGAACAGGAGCTTTAACATGTTTTTCCTCTGTATTCTCATCTTCCGTGCTGTTTCTTGTACACGCGAGGATAGCTATAAATATCATCTTACATATCTTCATCATGTATCGATGTAATAATAGAATTGTCATACACATCAGGAATCCTGAAATACCCAGACAGCACTGAGCCTGGGGGGGCGGCGGCCGTGGGCCCCTGGCCGGGGGTCAGACCGCTCGGCGCCGGCAGTGGGCTCCTTCTCCAGGCCTGTGGTTGGGAACCCCCCAGGCTGCATCACGTGGTGACGGTGCCGATATCCTTGTGAGTCCTCCAGTGCTCAACCCCAGCGGGTCCTTTGTCTCCTCCTGCGCCACAGCCCCCACACCCAGAGCGTCACTCACTCGTTATCCACCAGGGCAGCCTGGTGCCATGTCAGCCAGGAGTGAGGGGCTCCAATGGCCACAGAGAACGGGAAAGACGGGACAGGGACCTGGCTGAGCAGGGGTCTCCGTGGGGCGCTGGGGCCTAGAGGGCTCGGGGGCCAGCCCCCAGCTCGAGGGCCTGAGCCTGAGCCAGCCCCTCTGGCAGCTGCATGGCCAGCACCTCACCTGTGGCGTCAGCAGCGCTGTCGAGGTGGAGGATGCACCTGACCCTGCCGCGCATCTGTCCGAGGAGGGGAGAGAGGGGCCGGGGGAAGGGCCAGCGGAGAGGGGAGGTGCATGTCTGCGTCGGGAGGGGGGGACTCGGTGACTTCCTGGGACGGAGGAGCAGAGTCAGGCGGTCTCTGGGCAGCAGTCCAGAGGCACGTGCATGTCCACACCCTCGTACCGGGCTTCACACCTCCCAGTCCCCAACCTGGACCAGTCCCTGGAGACTGACTGCCTTGACTTCCAGGACCCAGCTGTGGGACTGGCCTGTGGGCGCCCCCTTCCCAGCATCGGGGAGCCTGGGAGGCTGACCTCTCGGCAGAATCCAGGCGGGGGAGGGGAGGGCTTGAAGAGGAAAAGCTGAGGACCCTGAAGCACCTCACCCCCGGCCCAAGAAACTCCAATAACAAGAACCAGGATGGATACTCAGAGCAAGATCACTATGATAAATGCTCATTTTTGTCCCTGGGTGCTAGACATGACCCTCCTGAGGGTGGTTACCACACCTGAGGTCATAAACCACGGTCCAGCCCTCCTCTGAGCCATGAGAGCACCTGTGGTCATTACAGCCAGTTACCCCATTTTCCCTTCAGCTTAGCTGTCCCCTTGGCTCTATAGAAAGGGACTGGGGATGTAGTACAGAGTGGGCAGAGGGGAGGCTTACAAAGGGCCTGAGGCCCCGATCTCATAAATAACCAACCCCCTGCTTCACCTATACCCCCCGAGCTAGTAGAAGAGAGTAAAGAAGGAGGTTAACAGTCAGGGTGTCTGTCCTTCCCCAGTGGTGTCCTGGGCTCTGCCTGCTCCCTGGGGCTCTCGTCTGAGCTGTCTCCCCCTGGCCATTTCCCAGCTCAGCCACCCAGCCTGCAGCCCCTACACCCACACAGAGCATTCCCTGTGCCCCTCGGGGAGGGAGGGCTCTGTGAAAAGTAAGATAAGTGCCCCCTCCCCCCTCCAGGACCACCCAGGAGAGTGGGGGCATCACCACAGCCTGGCGATGAGACTCTGGACAACGTGGCTTAATTTCTGGAGCCTTCCCTGAGATGGTGTAATTGTATCCAATCCATAGGGTCGTCATCAAGGTAACCACTGAGCGCTGAGAACACAGGTCCCTCCTGCCTGCCTGAGATCCTGCCATTAATGCCTCTTTTTTGGGTAAAGGCATTCTTGTCCCCACACTATGATCCCCCTGGGAGAGCATGACATGGGGCTCAAACTCAGGAACCATGAAATCATGACATGAGCCGAAGTTGGACACTTAACCGAGTGACCCACCCAGGCACCCCACTTTTGCAGAATTTAAAAATGCAAATAAGAGGGGACCTGAGTGGCTCAGTCGGTTGAACATCTGACTCTTGATTTCGTCTGAGGTCATGATCCCAGGGTCATTAATATCGTGGGCTCTGTACTGAGCATGGGGCCTGGTTAAGATTCTCTACCCCTCCCCTGTTCGTGCTTTCTCTCTCAGCCAAAAAAAAGGAAATTCTTTAAAATGTGCAAAAAACAGAATCAATACTATAGGAAACCAAACAGTGACGTGGGGACAGGGTGAGCAGAAGAGCCAGGTTAGAATGAAGAACGGTATGGAATGACAGTGGGGACTGGACAAAGCAACCTCCGTCCCCAGAGAGATAGAAGGAACGCCGTCAACAGCACCCATCTCCTTCCCCAAAGCCATTGTTCCCGCTAACAACTCTGCTGGGCTCATGGTCAAGGACAAACAGCTGCGCCCCTGACGCACAATGGGCATGTTACCCTATTCTGGCCAGTGATACATTAGAGGACGTTACGTGGGGGTTCTGAGGATGACTCCCAACCCGATGAGAGGCAGGAGGGGGGGAAGCCCGTGTGGTTGCTGATCACCAGCACTTGCCCCTGAACAGCTGCATGAGAAGCCGATGCAGGAAACGGATGGAGCCACCCCCGGGCAGAAGTCAGGAGATGGGCAAGGCTGACCCGGAGCCCAGACATCGCCGAGCGCTGACCCAAGCCCAGTGCACTTTATCTCTCTGCCTGGAAATGACCAGGGAGCAGCAAGAGTGTGTTTCAGCTGTGGGAGGGAGCGGGGTGCCCACAGGCAAAGGGACGACACTGAGTGCGGATGGCCCGGCTGTTCCCACCTGCCCAGTGCCAGGGTGCCAGGGAGTGGCTGGAGATTTGGTTGCACATGGGGGCTGGGATGAGGTTTTGGATTTCTTGTTGAAGATCATTAACTGTGTAAATGCGTGATCTCCTGTGCTCCCCAGAACCTTAAAACTATAGTAAATCTATTTTAAGTGTATAGATCACAACAGCAAAGAGAGACAGGGAGACACTTGAGCAGAGATGCCAGGAGTGTCAGAGAGAAGGAAGAGGGATGCCTGGGTCCACAGATCCGGCCCCAGACCCGGTGCATGAGGACCTCTGGGGTAGTGCTCAGGGAACAGTTCATGAGACTTCGCGTGTGCCCATTACATGGCCAGGTCCAAGGACACCCACCCAGAGAACACGCACGGCACAGCTTGGAGCCGCCTGCCCTGGGGAACCCGCAGAGACTCGGCTCAGGCCAGCGAGGCACAGGAGGGCTTCCCGGGGCTGACACAGGGGCAGGTCCGGGAGCTCTGTGCTTGGAACGGCCCCAGGCCGACTGCCCACTCCAGATACGGAGTGTGACGGAGCCTGAAAGCCCACAAAGGAGCGAGCTTCTAAAAAGCAACCAGTGGGCAGTGGCCTGAGGGGGAACATCAGGTGATAAATTCCTGCAGCCTAGCTGGGAGCCATTCCATGATGCCTAGGCCTGAAAACTCCAGGAACAGCCCCAGAAGTGTGATCTAGAGACTCAGAAGTAACCATAAGACACTTGAAACCAGAATCCAGAGACGTGATTGTCTCTGGGCAGAGGGATTGGGGCCCGCAGGGCCTGTGGGATCTAAGTACGTGTTTGCCATCAGGTGCATGGTTTGATGCTTGTACAGTTCTGCTCTCATGTGGCTGCTATGTGTGCTTACACACATGCTACAAAGAAGCCCAACCAGTTAGAATGTGCACATGACTCCCTTGGCGACCTTCTTCAAAAGCAGATTCTGGTTCCGGAGTTCTGGAGGCCTGGGATCAGAGGACGTAGGACAGAGAGATGTGGGGACAGTAGAATCACTGTCAAGGGCACGATGTGAGAGCTGAAGACACGGGCATCTATTCAGCGTGGGGTGGCCTTTGGGGACCCTGGGCAAGACGGCAGCCACAGCCTGGGGTCTCAGCGTGAGAATCTGAAGCGCCACCAACACTTGGCAATTGTGAGATGATAGAAAATGTACTTGTCAGTCTCTGCCCTGGTTTCCCTTGGAATTTCTTGGGTGACTGGAGTGCCTTTTGTTGTAATGAAGTGGCTAAGTGTGGGCTCCAGGCTGGTTGTGGGTCATGAGAAAGCCAAAGTCCTGATTAGAAGCTCAGTTTTCAGCCCCCACCCTCCTATTTCTCCGGAAAAGGGAGAAGAGCTGGAGATGGACTTAATGATCCATCGTGCCTACGTTGAGGAAGCCTCCAGAAAGTCCGAGAAATGTGGGGTTCCGGAACTGCCAGGTGGGTGAACAGCTGGACCAGGGGGAGAGGGGCCCCCGGGACAGGG